AATCCAGAGCACAAGCTATCCACCTCTTTCGTGAGGAATTTAGGCAACAAAAACATCATACCCCACGCGTTAACTAATCCGTAAATGACCGTGGCCACTAGTTGGATTCTTCCTGCATATGATAAAAATCTTGTTGTCCAGGAACTGAACTTTGCTTTTATTCGATCAAGGAGAGGTTGGTAATCTGATTTACTCAGCCTGATAGAGCTGAGAGGAACTCCTAAATAACGGACAGGTAGAGCACCTTGATTAAACCCGAATTATCTGCAGGATTCTAACTTTTCAACCTCAGACATCCCACCAAGAAATAATTCTGTCTTCTCCATGTTCAGACTTAAACCAGAATATTTGTTGAATGTTTCCAGTATATTTTTCACCTCCATTAACGAACCGTAATCCCCAGCAGTGAATATCATTAAGTCATCAGCAAACGCTAGGTGGATGACCATCGGAGTTCGACATTTAGGGTGTAGACGGAATTTATGTTGTGTTGCACTACAGTTTAACATTCTTGAGAGTATTTCCATCGAGAGAATGAATAAGTAAAGAGAAATTGGGTCACCTTGTCGGAGACCACGCCTTCCCTTAAAGAAGCCCGCTAGCTCACCGTTGACAGCGATGGAAAATTTCGGACAAGCAGGACTGAAGTGGTCTCGTGTCCTGCGAAGTGGAACAACCTGCACTCTTCGATCACGTCCTCGATGCTCATACCACCTTCTCCGGAGTTCGATTCTAAAAGTATACCCAATAGATCATCCTCTGGACCTCCACCAGCTTTCATCGCCATCTCTCTTTTCTTGATGATATCTCCCAGACTCCGCCTTACTTCTCTGTCAGTCCCTTTCATCTTCCTGTTGTTCTTTGTTGGTAGAAACCTGCATCAAGTGAAAAAACACATAATATAACCCCTTCGTTATGCACATTACATGGACACTGTCCAAAACCTAACATGTCTAATGGATTGTGTGACCTGAATCCAGGGATAAAACCCGTCTGAAGGGCTTGAAGAAATCTCTTGGCTTGTTCTTCTTGGAGCTCGAAGATTCGTTTTCCTTCTTCATAGCTACTACCGAATGTAGTCCGAGAAATCGCATCTGTTGTCATGCTCATGAGAAATGGCCATACATCCACCTCTACCGATGATCCGCCCTCCGGTATCAGCCTCTCGCTTATCACCTCCCCACATCTCTCGTACAAGGCCGAAACCATTTTCTGCAAACCCAAGAAATATTTTTATATAGCTAAAGTTATGATATGATTGTGTAATGCCTCATGTTCTGTGTTTTCAGACTACGTACCTTGAGCTTTTCAAGGTGAAAGGCCGGGTTGATTATCTTCCTGTGCTTAGACCACTTCTCTCCGTCATAAGTTACCAGTCCAGTGGCCATCAGCTTGACGCTAGGATGCAAAGGAGGCTTCGGGAAATCGTAAACTTTGTTGAACACTTCTTTAATGAGCTCTGGATTCATTATGATCACCATTGGAATCGGTCCAACCCACATGTATGACAACTTCCCTGACATGTTACAATCTTTGATGAAATCACAGTGATGTTACAATCTTGATAAGAAAAAGTTTGAGATCGAGATGAACGTACTATGATTCTTGACAGTTCCTATCAGCAAAGGAGCGACACGTGGCGTGAAATCTTCATGTACAGAGATTGGTCTGGAAGTAGAGCTTCCTTCCCCATTCTGAGGTTGCTTCGGACATCTCCGACAAGAAACGTGTACGGATTTCCAGAGATACCTTGTCTCTTCAGACAAGCTTCAAGCCTCTTCGGTTTCAACCAAACCCAGTCCAGAGCTTTCCATGCCCAAGTCGCTAACGCCGTGACTGCAACAGCAACCGCAAACGCAACCGGAGTCGATGGTATCTCCATCTCTGCAAGAAGAGGGAAGAACAAGAGAATATATAGATGTGTATGCTGTGAGGAATAATGTTTTCTCTTATTCATCATCAACGTCATATACATGAATATATACACTAGATGGTTGCTACATTACAGGAGACAAGTATGGCAAGGAGATTACAATCAAATTAGAGTCGTGTAATGCAGATTTTGTGGACAGATTTTGTTGACTGACATATTTCCTTCTATTACGCCCCCGCAAAAGTGGTGTCGGGTGAGACACCGATTTTGTTCCGTAGAAGTTCGAAGCGTGATCGTGACAAGGCTTTGGTTAAACCATCAGCTAGTTGGTCCTTGGAAGATATAATGAGCAACACGTAGTTGGTTGTCTTGAACTAACCCTCGGATGAAGTGGTAATCGATAGCGATATGCTTCATCCTTGAGTGGAACACCAGGTTTGCAGCTAGATATGTCGCTCCGATATTGTCACAGTAGATTACTGGTGTAGCAGTCAGTGAGATACCGAGCTCGGAGAGAAGAGAAGTGAGCCATCGGACCTCGGACGCCGTGGTTGAGATAGACTTGTACTCAGCCTCGGTTGATGATTTTGCCGCGAACCGTTGTTTCTTGGAGCTCCACGAAATCGGATTTCTGCCCAAGTATACAATGTGGCTCCCGTTGAGCTAAAGTCATCCTTATCACCTCCCCAATCGGCATTGGAAAATGCATGAATCGTTGAAGGGGAATTTGCATGAAGATGAATGTCAAGATTCCTAGTTCCGGCAATGTACCTGAATATTCGCTTAACCGCCTTCCAATGATCCTCCGTTGGTTGGTGCATGTATTGTGACAACTTATTTACGGAGTAAGCAATGTCGGGTCGGGTTAGCAACAAATACTGTAGACCACCGAGAGCTTGTCTGTATTCGTTGGGGTCTTGAAGAGGGGAGCTCGAACTAGCGGAGATAATAGTTGTGGACGCAAGGGGAGTGGGTACAGATTTCGCATCCGTCATCTTGTGCCTGGCAAGTAGGTCATTAGCATATCGTTGTTGATTGAGTAAAATGCCTTGTGGTGTCCGTTTCACTTCAATACCGAGGAAGAACGAGAGATGCCCGAGATCCTTGAGATGAAATCGGTTGGCAAGAACATCAATGAATCGTTGAACTGCAGTTGATGAATTCCCGGTGACGATAATATCATCAACATACACAACCATGCTCTGATACCATGTGAGGAATAATGTTTTCTCTTATTCATCATCAACATCATATACATGAATATATACACTAGATGGTTGCTACATTACATGAGACAAGTATGGCAAGGAGATTACAATCAAATTAGAATCGTGTAATGCAGATTTTGTGGACAGATTTTGTTGACTGACATATTTCCTTCTATTATATGCGTGTCTTTTGGAGATGAGAGATGAATGGTCTGTGTACGTATTTATAAGCATGCATCCGTATCTGTGTTCGTATTTATTCAGATTAAGTACCTGTATTCAAGAAACAAACAGAGACTATCGGGAAAATTCCACGCAATGTCCACTATTTGGTAAATGACTAATTCTGACGTATATGTTTTTTCAAGTTCACTTTCCTTTCGCTTTCCTTATTAGTCCCTAATAGCAATACCGGTGTCAATTCGGGCCGGTCCAATATGAGATCGGTATGAGAATTTTGGATTTGCTTTTTGATTGATACGATTTTTTCGAGTCTAAATAATCAAACCCAAATCCCTGCTCTATAGACTTTGGATTTGGGTTCGAAGTGGATCAACCCGTTAAATTTGTTTTTTGAAATTTATTTTTTTATTTTATATAAAATAAAGTTTCCAGATTGACCCGATCTGAATCCGACCTAAAAATCCGAAATTTTTTGGGTCGAATATTTAGATCCAAAAATCTGTTATTTTTCGGACCGGTCCGGATTTCGGGTCTCAAACCAAAATTGGCACTCTAGTCCATAACATATAGACTGACTTTTCATATATATATATATATATATATATATATATATATATATATATTTTTTATATATTTTTATAAT